AGTCACATAGACAGCAAAACCAGCTGCAGCACAAACGTGACTTTTTCTTTTAAAAAGAAAGCCATCACTATGCAAACACCACCTGGGGTGTGGAGTGACTGATGCAGCTCTTTTTCAAGAGGTTGGCAAGGGCCTCTTTATAGACTTGTAAAACCATAGAAGCATTTTGGTTGGAAAAGACCTTCAAGATCATCAGAGTCCAACTGTCAACCTCGCCTACCAAGTGCCACCATCAAACCATGTCCCTTAGCTGCAGAACAGCCCCAGAGCAAACATGAGCCCAGTGCCAACTCTATACTTGGGTCAATGGCAGTGATTGACTATGGATTATGGTGACATCTGCCTGATTGCTGTCATCTTAACACTGGGGCAGAGTTCAGTCTTCAGTACATTTTTCTATATGGTATGTTGCAATTAGAAAGTTTCTTTCCTTCTTCTCTTCCTCCAAAGTCCTGCAACTGGAGAGGAAAACATAGGAAACAGTGTCTTCAAATCATACACCTATTCTTCATCTCCCTGTATAATCATCACAAAAATTTGGTGCTGAGCTGTGATCTGTGTTTTGTCTGGAGTTTGGAAGTGGTTTTAATGATTTAAATCATGGTGAAGAACAGGGCCACTCAAAACGCAGAGCTGGAAAGCAGAACCGCTTCAGCATCTGAAGTATTTTAAAGCAGATTTTGGTCCAGGTCCTGCTCCACTGTGTCCTCATGTTGGGAAAGTATATTCAGAGCTGACATGGCTTTACATGGCTTTCCCAGGTGTTTTCTACTGGGACAAAGTGCAGAGAGTGCAGTTAATCATGAGTGCATTCAAGTGTCCTAAGGTCTTTGGGTGAAAGCTGTTAGAGACATTGAAAAAGTGTTTAATAATCACAGCCCCATGTCCTCAGCCTAGGCTTTTTGGGTTCACAAAAGTTCAAACACCTTTTAAGAAATTTAGGCCAAAATGTAAGCAGGCCAGAGCCATACGGCAGTTCTAATTGCAACGGGTTCAGCGCTTTGCTGAACCATTTTCAGGATCATGACTACTTGGTAAGATGCATGCTGAGTGTTGCTGCTTTTATAAACCACAGCAGGCTCAAAGGTACTGTGTGCAGTTTCCTATAGTTGACGTAAAAATATATACTTTCTTTTTTTTCCCCAACTGTCTCACTTTTACACAGTTTCAATTGGAAGTGCATATAACAATAATCCCCAAGATGATTCGACATTGGGTCTTTCAACGGACTGTCAACACATCCTGTTCTTCCTCTTTTGCAATATGCGTCCCTAAAAACAAACCGGACACATAAGGTACCTGTTTTTTTCAGCAAAAATATGACTCATGGATGAGAGTAAAAAAAAAAACCACAAGTTTTGTAACTATGAAAGCTGCAATCCTAGCTAAAAGAAATATAGATTTTTCCCTGCTCTCTATTTTCCTGTCTTTCCGTTGGTTCCTCAGACCATCTTTAGGGATAGTATTGTGGCACGTATACACTGAATTCCATGCAGCAGGCTGTTACTGTGCTAGTGCTCTGTATGGAGTGCTGTGGCATAGCAAGGGAGATGTGAAACTCACTAAAAAAAAAAAAAGGAATATTTTTTTTTTCCAAAAGAAAGGATTTCTATTTCTATTTCCCATAAAGAGAATCAACTGGAGAGCTGCCTTATGTTAATTTGATTCTTAGAAAAAGGATAAAATCACTACAAATGAAACAATCTCACCTCCTGTAACAATTTCCTGCTTTGTTTTGCCCTTTTCCCTAGCTTAAGTCTATATCTGTGATTATGTAAAAACCTTGCAGAGGATTTTACTGCCTCTTGTTGTACTGGCTGAGAGCTACCCAAACCATCCATAGATGGAAGAAGAAGGGTTTATCTGCAACTTTTGGAGTAGTTAGAAAGAAGATAGATAAGCAAACTTCTTAGTTCTCTAAGAAGTAGAAATTAAGAGCAAAAGGAGTAGTACCATAGGGAAACCAACACCCACATGAGGCTCAGTGTTCTCTCCTGCATTTAAATGCATAAGCGCTTGCAAGTATCATAGCTATGCACTATTTTGAACTGAATTGCACACTATTTTACACCAACTGCACATGTTTCTGGTATCTCTTTAGTGCGACAAGCTCCTTAGCACAACACTGAGCAGTACCTCAGTGCTGTTTTTTTTGCCACAAACCAATCAAGTACTGAGAAGTTAATCATTAGCCGGCCAGTTGTGCATGCAGACAGACTCCCTTCTTTGTCTTACGGTGTTATTAAATGCCTTCTCCTTTGAAATGCAGCATAAAAGTGATAGATGCCCTTTCTTTACAAGTCAGCCATCCAGGCAAGCGATGTTTTATATAAGTTCAGCCAACAAGAGCCCTCCTTGTTTAAATATAGAAGCATAGGGCAGATAAGGCTGAGCAAACCACTGCTGCCATGAGCCCGGGCTGCAGATAGGGGCTGGGGGCAGAGCTCACTGCTGCACCAGATTTCACCCAAGAAATATGGGGTGGGGACAGGATACAATGTGAAAAACAAATTAGGATGAGGCCAAATGGCCATGTATATTTGCAGTAGCACAATGGAAAGCTGTTGGCATTTCCTAAGGATGTTTCATCGTTTTGAAGGGCAGTTTGGCGTGGATGCTGCCATGAAAACACACAGTTGTACACAGCAGATGAATGAACAGGGAGATGAAGGAGCAGGACTGAGCGAGACAGCACAAAGTTCCCCCTCCCAAACCACTGAGCATTTTCTCCCAGCAGCAGTGCTTCCCTACGTTTTTGCTAACTGGCTTTTACAAGGTGAAACTGGTGCTCAGGAGAATAATGCTCACTTTGTTTGCCCCTGGTGGAAACACTAGGCTGTCAAGGCAGGGCTCAGCTAATGTATAATCTATATTTACATGTCAAAAAAACCCACCCTTATTTAGGCTTTTGATTTATAATCCCCAGTTTTCATAAAAGTCACTCATTCCCAGTGAAAGAATGCAGAGTAGATTTATAGGATCTGTATTATGCCTTAAATCTTAATGGCATTTCTAAAGCACTTTTATGAGTCATCCTAAGAAATGCTTTCCCTCTATTTCCAAGACATTGTTGTGTAAAAACAGATCCAAATCTTTACCTTAAAAACAAGATTATTTTAGCCAACCATGCTTGCATCAACTCCACTGCAATGCTGAACACTCTGTCTGCAATGTCCTTATAAGCCCCTATTTCCAAGGGTTCACAGCTTGAATGTAAAACACACTTTGTACTAAAGTTTGTCTGATCAGATCTTTAACCTACGTGAGTAGTGAATTTGTTTTCACCATTATAGCCAAAATAAAATAAATCTTTAGAGGTAGCTGTAGGAAAGAGGTGGTGAAGCACTGGAACAGGTTGCCCAAGGAGGCTGTGGATGCCCCATCCCT